CCCAGCCTGGCTGCAGCTCCCTTAACCCCACAGGGGTATTTTGGGGGGCACCTGCCAACCTGTGCTCCCTGGGAGCCTGCAGGCTGCAGAAATGCCAGCAGTTTTCAGGGGTCTCCCTTGAGGCAGTGCCAGGCTGGGGAGAGGATGCTGATGCCCAGCTCTCAATGCCCTTTCTGTCCCCAGGGAGGATGAGCAGTCCCCAGAGGCCCCCAGATGGGGTTTTGGCCGGGAGCGAGCAGAGCATGGGGTGCGTCAGCGAGGTGAGAAGGAGAGGAGGGTGACAGGTTGGGGGGCCCCTTCCCTCCCTGACCCCTTGGGCTCAGCTGGACCCCCAGCCTCTCGGTGCTGCTCTTTTCAAGATGTCATCCAGCACCAGGGAGGGGTTTGCTCCAACAGCAGCCTTGTGCCCCCCCAGGTGCCAGGCACCGACAGGCAGGAGCTGGCTGTGTGCACCAGGGACAGTGATGGGACCGAGGAAGGTGGGTGAGTCCCCCTCCTGCATCCCAGCTGGGTCCCCTTAGGGGGAGGCTTGAAGTGGCCTGATGGGGTTTGCTCCCTTGTTGGGGACGTGGGGAAGGGGGGACTGGCCTGGGGGGGACCTGAAGCCCCTGTGATGCTGGGAGAAGGACTGGGAGGGTCCCACACCACGGGCACCTGCTCCCTGCCAGGACAGGAGGGCAGAGGGAGGAGGAAAGGCCAAGCAAAAGCCCTCACATGTGGTCTCTCCCGTGGCATTATTACTTCCCTGCAGATGCAGAAACCCCGGAGGAGCCCTTGCTGAGTTTCCCCAGTGAGCTCTCCATGCTGGAGAGACTGGGCTTGCACAGGTAAAACCAGCAAGCACCTGCATCCCTCTGGGGGCTATGGGATGGAGGGTCCCAGGGCGCTGTGTCACCCACGGATTGGACTTTCCTCCTTTCCCACTGCGTAAGAGCCGCTCTCCAGGCAAGGGGCACTTGGGTCCCCGCTTGTGGTGGCGGGCATCCATGGGAGCGGACCAAGGGCATTTTCAGCGTGCAGTCTCTGTGGTGCCTCCATGCCTGACAGCCCTTCTCTTTCTGCAGAGTGGCTTTGACGGAGCAGGACATTGAGGTGAGGGCTGCCGGGGGTGGGCTGGGGAGGGGGGACAGAGGGACAGATATCTTGCTGGCTCACAGCCCCGGGGCTGTGCCCTGCTCCTGACTGCCCTCCAGGCACCGCAGTCCCCTGGCATCACCTTACAAATCCCTTTCCCGGTGATGCTGTTGGCATTTGGAGGCAGCTGCATTTCCATGGCAAGATGAGCTTGTCCTCTGTGCGCCCAGCAATCCCACAAAGTGCTCTGCAGCTTGCCGAGAGCGCCCTTAGCCGGGGACGTGGCGGAAGCTGCACTAATAAAAATAATTTTCCTGCGAGTGCCAGGGCTGAGTCAAGCTCCACTGTCGGCTGGGACCTGCAGCGAGGGCTGGCGTCTGCGTGGCGCGTGCTCTTGCCAGGAGGGCTTGGGATTTCCATGTGTTATCGGCTGCCTGGTGGGGATGTGTCTCGCGAGGCTGGCATCTCATGGGGACCATCCCCAGCGTGCAGCAGCCTAACGGGTGCTGAGGAAAGGCAAGTGCTAATTATCCTTAGCACAGCCTGCTTGATGGCATGCTGGGGGGGGTCTGTCTGTGCCTTGGGGACAGCAGCGCATGGCCCTGGTGGCTTCCCCTTTGCCCTGTGTCCCACCTCTTGCCCTCCCACCCTGCAGGCAGCCTTTGCCCACCTCGCCCTGGCTTTTCGCTGCGACATGTTCACCCTGCGGCAACGGGTGCAGGTGGAGAAACGGGCACGGGACGCGGCAGAGGAAAACATCCAGGAGGAGCTGGAGCAGTGCCGGGCTGCCCTGGAGGTAGGTGGGCACCAGGGCAGGGGGCTGGCATCTGCTGGGGACTTCCAGCCTTGGAGGGATTTGGACAACTCAAAGTTCTGGCTCCGTCAGCTCCATCCTCTTCCTCCACAGAGGTTGGGCCCATCCTGCACTGATGCAGGCTGCAAGGAGATGCTGGAGCAGCTGCAGCGCAGCCTGGCTGTGCTGGCAGCTGCTGTCGAGCGGGCAACCAGTGCTGCGGAAAAGCTGGGGGCTGTACATCAGGTTTGTGCATCACTTGGGGCTCCCCACTAGGGCCAGGAGGGATGGAGGGTGCTGTGCCTGGACTGGGGGACCCATCCCTGGGCTCGCTGAGGTTTGTCCCTCCTCCTCATGTTTGCACATACCAGGGGCGCAAGGCATCTGCCTGCCCTTGGGAGCAGGAAGGGGGTGCGTTTGCACCCCCTGGGTGGAGGCACCGTGGGATGCACAGTGAGATACTGGCAGGGACCTGGGTCCTTAGGGACCAGGAGGTGGGGCGCCTGATCCCCCCATCCTGCCCGGCCACAGGAGGCCCGGATGAGCCGAGCAGCAGAGGTGATGGTCCAGCACGTGGAGAACCTGAAGCGGCACCACATGCGGGAGCACGCGGAGCTGGAAGAGATGAAGCGCCTGATCCAGCAAAACTCCCGCAACCGGCAGCTGGCAGAGACCCAGGGTGAGGTGGGCTCTGCCACCAGGGCCTGCATGGGGTTTGCATGGGGCAGCCCTGCAGGATTTGGTCCCAAGCCCCCCCAGGGGGTCAGTGTGTCCCCACGCCACAGAGCTGGTGGGTTATGTGAGCTAGGGACCGGGAGCAGGTGACGGCTGGGACCCAATGACAAATGCGGCGTAACAGCAGGCGCAGCGTGGGAGCAGGTGCTGGTGGCCGGAGAGCCATCGTCCCGTGGCCCAGCTGGGAATGCGGGGCAGGGGGGCAGGGGCATATAAAGAACGCTCTGTCCCTGCACAGAGCCAAACCCCACGCACGCCATCGCCGTGCATGTAAGCAGGGTCCCCCCGCCGAGGCACCCCTGTGACTTGTGCCAAGTACAGAGCATGTGGCCAGGACAGCTTTCGATGGGAGGGAGGTTTGCAACCATCTGTGCACCAGCCCCATCTTAATTTTTGGGGGTGACGTAAGGCTGCTTCTCTTTGCTCCTAGACGACACAGAGCCACGGCTGAGGCCTCACCCGTTGATGCGAACTTTTCAGCAGGTAACTGGTCCCAGTTCAGTGGCCCTGGAGCCACCACCTCCCCGTGTCCTGCCATTCTCCCTTGCCAGCTGTCCCCACGCACTTGCTAGTCCCTGGGCAATGCCACTCCTGCCAGCTGCTTGCTGCAGGCAAGGTCTGCTAGAAACACCGGGGACGAGGCAAAATGTAGGGGCGGCCTCGGAGGGCTGCAGGGAGACAGGGTGCCCGGGGTTGGCGGCTGCTTGTCCACGAGATCTCAGGCAGGTCCCTCTGCATTGCAGGGTCATAGCGCAAGAGCCGCGGGCTTGGCTGTTTCTAGCACCAACTCGAATTTGGCACTGATTCCCCTACAGCTCAAGAGGTAGGGGAGCGCTCGGGGAGGGGGTTAGGCAGCCCCGCCAGCACGGCTTGAAGCAGTAAGGACAGGCACAAACCTCTCGACTTGGACCTTCCCTTATCTCACCAGCTCTCCGGCTTCCTCCCGTAGTGCTGGGGCAGTGGGAGGCTGGCAGCGTCCTTTCTCCTCCGCAGTGTCCCTTGCCTGTGCTGGGGAGGCGATGGGGAGGGAAGGGGATGGGGAGCACAGGGGAGGCAGCTGACACGGTGCTCACCTCCAGCCCC